TCCCCTCCCTCCCTCCCTACCTCCCAAACAAGATAAAGAGGATGTGACCAAGAGGAGAAGGAGGAGGACAAGGAAGACGAGTAGAAGAAGAGGAGAACGTGGAAGCGAGCCAAGGAAGGAAAGATAACGAGAGCCGACTAGGGCACATAACAACCCGGAAGCGATGGACGATGAAGACACGAGAGAGAGAGAGAGAGAGAGAGAGAGAGAGAGAGAGAGAGAGAGAGAGAGAGAGAGAGAGAGAGAGAGACGAAGAGACAGTGGGAGCGGTTAGGGGTCGGAGGAAGGAAAGGAAGAGACGCCAGCAGTGGGGTACGGTCAGAGGAAGAAAAGGAGAGAGAGAGAGAGAGAGAGAGCAAGACGAAGAGACAGTGGGAGCGATAAGGGGTACGTTCAGAAGAAGAAAAGGAGGGGATGGCGGCACTGAGGGGTAGATCCGGAGGAAGAAAGGGAGGAAACGCCAGAAGTACAGTGAGGGGTAGGTGAGAGCAAGAAAAGGAGGGGGAGGAGGAGGAGGAGGAAGCGAAGCATAGGGACGCGGGATGGGCAAAAGAGAGAAAGGGGGAGGAGGAGGAGGAAGAGGAGGAGAGGGGCGTAATGAATAGAGAAACGGAAATAGCAGGGGAAGAAAAGTAATAGTCAATGGTGATGGGTCAAAAAAGGAAAGACATAGCAGGCCTTGACATTCATAAACCGACCTAATCAGGGCATCTCTCCTTCTCCACAAGTTTAGAGAGACGAGTTGAAGACTTTTTTCCGGGGGGAGGGGGGAAGGCGGGGGGAAGGGGGAAGGGGGAAGGGGGGGGAGGAGAAGGACTGTACACCGAGAACTGATGCAGACAAGGACAACAGTCCAACCGCAATAACGACCGGTACGTGGAAGGCAACGACCGGTACGTAGTAGGCTAAATCCGTTTATCCACACAGAATGGCATTATCATCCATTTACGCACACAGAATGGCGTTATCTTTTATCCACACAGAAGAGGGGTCACACACACACACAGAGAGAGAGAGAGAGAGAGAGAGAGAGAGAGAGAGAGAGAGAGAGAGAGAGAGAGAGAGAGAGAGAG